AACCACCTGGAGGCGGCCCGCTACATGGTGCAGCGCGGCGGGTGTGTCTACAGCAAGGTGCGCTGCCGGGCCGGGCTGGGCCGGGGGCCGGTTAGGGGGGCCGCCCGAGGACTCACCTGCCGTCTCCCCCAGGAGGAGGACGGCTCCACCTGCCTCCACCACGCAGCTAAAATCGGGAACTTGGAGATGGTCAGCCTGCTGCTCAGCACAGGACAGGTGGACGTCAACGCCCAGGTCAGAGGCCCGCCGCCCCAGCCCCGGGGGTCCCTGGCTCAGCCCTAGGCTGTGCCCCCTTTCCGCCTCGGCCTACCTCTGACCCCTCCCTACAACCCATGTGGCTGCAGCTGTCCTCACCTTTCTCCCTCATTTGCATTTCTCTTTCTTCTTCTCTTTATCCCTTTGGGTGCTGAGTAGCTGCCTCATCTCTGAGGTGTCGGTGCTGTTTTTTTTTAATTATTTTGTATTATTTTTTAATCAGAGAGGAAGGGAGAGGGAGAGAGAGAGAGAAACATCAATGATGAGTGAGAATCAGCTGCCTCCTGCATGCCCCCCACTGGGGATCGAGCCTGCAATCTGGGCATGCCCTTGGCCGGAATCGAACCTGGGACTTTTCAGTCCACAGGCCGACGCTCCATCCACTGAGCCAAACCGTCTAGGGCTCAGTGCAGTTCTTTGTGAACTCTTAGTTTTTCGCATGGTAGACGTGTTTCACTCTCTCATCTTCTCGATTCATCCTTGGTCAGGAGGAGCCCCTGGAGTTGGCTCCTGTGGCCTCTGGCGTGGCCCAGCAGCCTCTGAGAGCACCCTGGCCTTTCGGGCATTCACACGCTACAGTCTGTACCATGGGGCGGCTGTCACTGCTGCTTCTTGCATCTAGGACTTCTGCGTAGGCAGACCTAGGAAATACAAATTTTTAAAAAAGAAAAAAATACTGCCCTCGCTGGTTGCTCAGTGGTTAGAGCGTTGGCCTGCAGACTGAAGGGTCCAGTGTTTGATTCTGGTCAAGGGCACATGCCTCAGTTGCAGGCTCAATCCCTAGCCCTGGGCCGGGCGCATACCGTTGTGGGGTCGGGGGGGGGGATGGGGACGGGGCAGCCAATCAATGTGTGTCTCTCACATCGATGTTTCTTTCTCTGTCCCTCCCTCTCCCTTCCCCTCTCTGAAAATCAATGGGAAAATATCCTCTGCGGAGGATTAACAAAGAGGAAAAGGGCAGAGGTGATCTGCGGCCTTGAGCCACAGACACTGTGGTTGGTGCCAGATGAAGCCGGCGCAGGGCACTGGGCACCTCGGTGCGAGCCGCTCACTCGGTCTGGCTCCAGGGCGCCTGCTTCTGGCCACGCGCTGCTTTGGTGAACAGAGCGGCTGGGCCTGCCCGCAGCCTCCTCCCGTCTCCCTCCACCCACAGGACAGTGGGGGGTGGACGCCCATCATCTGGGCCGCAGAGCACAAGCACATCGAGGTGATCCGCATGCTGCTGACGCGCGGCGCCGACGTCACCCTCACAGACAACGTGAGCCTGAGCTTGGTTGGGTGGGGAGGTGGCTGGCCCAGACCATGACCGAAGCGGAGGGGGGCTCAGGCTCACTGCCCGCCCCGTGCCCCTCCCCAGGAGGAGAACATCTGCCTGCACTGGGCCTCCTTCACCGGCAGTGCCGCCATCGCCGAGGTCCTCCTGAACGCCCGCTGCGACCTCCACGCCGTCAACTACCACGGGGACACGCCCCTGCACATCGCAGCCCGGGAGAGCTACCACGACTGTGTGCTGTGAGCCCCGCCTGCCGCACCCCCAAAGCCCCACCATCACCTCCGGAAGCCCCAACCCCACGGCTTCCTCTCCCTCCCAGGTTGTTCCTGTCGCGTGGAGCGAACCCCGAGCTGCGCAACAAGGAGGGGGACACTGCGTGGGACCTGACTCCCGAGCGCTCGGACGT